TCAGAACCTTTATCAGCCAAACGCTTTGCTGCTGGAGGCTCTTGCCTGATGTTGATGGCTGCTGAGGTGGCTGCTGAAGATAAGACAGGCTGTGCCAATATCTAGAACAAGACAACAGTGAAGTCTGCCACATCAACTGACTCATCCTTTTATGAAAGATTTTAATGTAGCATGCAATGCTATTTGATAGCATCTTATACACAGTAGAACTTCTTTTGAAATGGGAGTCCATTCTCTCAAACCTTGCCACTGTTTTTATCAAGGAAGTTGAACAAGATGGAATGTGATGGGAGAGGCTTATCTGTACTGGATATGGGACAGAGGCCAAGAATCATCTCAGGTAGGGTTTGTGTCTCCAATACCTCTGGCCGCTGATTTGTCCATAGTCCTCATACAGGAAATAACAAGTCTGTCCAGCACCTTCATAAGCCTGGATTGCTCACCAGCTTTGACTCCAGCTCCTGTGGGCATCTCCTGAATTAAGCAACACAGAAGGCTCCTCTGAAGTCACCGAATCCCAGAAAGGCTCTCCACCTTTGGAACAAGGGAAGTCTTCACCACTGGACAAAAGAGAAAAATATAAGGGTAAGTACCAGAAACACTCTTCTTCCATAGTCAGTTATGGTTTTTGCTATAAGATCGTTTCTGTTTCCACCTAGGTGCTACAGGCAGGGGATCATGAGCTTGTTTCAGGAAAAGACAGGGGACATGAAGTTTCCTTCTGGAAACTGAGTGCCGCCAACCCAGACTGTGTGAGTTTCAACTGGGGTCCCCCCTTTGATTTATCTCTCCATATCACCTCCCTTATTCCAATCACTGAATCTGTCCTCATGGAGAGAATTCTGCCTCTCACATTCATTTAAGGAGCTAGAGGACATACAGGCATTGCTTCACAGAGTTGAACTGCCGTAGAAGCAGGTTTTGTTGTTTTACTTACTTGTCTAAATTGTTAATCCTTGCCTGTCTGGAAAGGTTCAAGGAAGAAATAGATAGTCAGAACTGAAATGACTGAACACTAAGTCCTCCCCTAGGCTGAAAGGGACAGGGAAGGAGAAATTACCATTGTCGCCATAGCCATAGCTGTAGCCATAGGGGTAGGAGAACACCAGCAGGCAGGTGGAGAAGCCCTGCATGGCCAACACACAGCCACACAGGCTGATATGCTTTGGATCTGTGTACCCCACACCCAAATCTCATGTTGATTGTAATTCCCAGTGTTGGAGGGAGGGCCTGGTGAGAGGTGATTAGATCGTGGGGATGGTTTCTCATGAATGGCTTAACGCCATCCCCCTTTGGTACTGCTATAGTGATAGTGAGTGAGTGAATTCTCATGAAATCTAGTTATTTAAAAGTGTGTAACGCCTCTTCCCTGTCTCTCTTGTTCCTGCTCTCACCATGTGAGATGACTTGCTCCCTTTTGCCTTTCACTATGATTGGAAACTTCCTGAGGCCTCCCCAGAAGCAGAAGCTGCTATGCTTCTTGTATAGCCTGCAGAGCCATGAGGCAATTAAACCTGTTTTCTTCATAAATTTCCCAGTCTCAGGTATTTCTTTGTAGCAATTCGAGAATGAACTAATACACAGGCAGAGAACCAGGAGGTGGAAATCCCAAGTGGCTCTCCTGCTGTCCTCCAGTATCCTGCTGCTGTGTCCCAGTGTCACTATTCCACCAGATACTGGGACTAAAAAGAATCCCACTGATGTGGTACATAGAAGCCACTCTCTTGGGATGTCAAAACAGGATAGAGAAGAATGGAAAGCAAATCCTCAGAGCAAATGAGACGATCCTCTCACCATCTTATATCCTCCTAATTCCTGGGACAGTCTCTGTCGACAGGTGATGATTCCTGTCTCATTTCAGCTCTATCAGACTACTTTAATGTTTGGCATGTCTTTCTCTACTATCACTTCTATGCAGAAATGTTTGCATTCATCAAAAATGCATAGAAAAGGAAATACAATTTTAAAAAGAGAACGTATTTCTTTTTTTAGAATATAAGTTTGACCCCTCTCATAAAGACACGAAGTAGAAATCTCTTAAATAAGAAAGTACAGTTGTGTCTCTGGGTCACCAGGTCCAGAATCTGCAGATTCAACAAACCACAGGTGGAAACTATTCCAAAAATAAGGGTATGGTGGAGGTGTGTATTTACTGAACAGGTACAAAATTGTTTTTCCTTGTCATTACTTCCAAAATAACACAGTAAAACAAGAATTTACATGACATTTGCATTTTGTCAGTTATTCTAAGTAACTTAGAAATGATTTAATGTATCTGGGAGAAAGTGCATAGGTTTTGTACAACTACCACATGATTTTATATAAGGAAACTGAGCATCTGCAGATTTTGTTGTGTGCTGGGATTGCAGCACACACATCTGCCATATAGGAAAGCCCCTGTGAATACCCAGAAAAGACTATCTTTGAGATCAGTGTTGGAAGCTCCAAGGCATCGTACATCAGAATTCCAAAAACTGCTGCTCCCCAGTCCCTAGAGAGTTGCCCTCATCCTTGTGATCCTACATGGTTCCAGCCACCTCAGCATTCCAGCATGATGGAAAAAAAAATAAGGAAAGGAAACGTGTTACTCCTGCTATTGGTCCTGTGAGCCAGGACTTGCTTATATCACTTTTGTGCATCTTTTGTTGAACAGAACCTGGTCATACAATGGCACCCGACATCAAGGAAAACTGGAATGTGGGTCCTTGTGCTGCTTTTAAACTCCCAGAATTTTTATGTGACCAAACAGGAAAATGAGCACTGGGGCAACCTAGCAGTCTCTTCTGCCTCTGACAGTCTCTGATTCTGTGCTCACATCAAGATTTTTCAGGAACTCCTCTGAAATAATGAATGATGGGGCAGAGAACAGTACAGAAGTCTCATGCAGGGCTCCAGGGACCAGGGGCTGGTATTGAGCCTGCTCTTCGTGTTGTGAACTCACGAAAACACTTTAATTCTCTAGGCCTCGGCTTCATCTTATGTTATATTAAGATAATACCATGGATGATCTTTAAGGAACACATGCTAAATATTGGTAATACCACAGTGAAAAAGACAGGCATGACTTACTCCTTATGGAGCTTTGAGTTTCATAAGGAAGACAAACATATCATACCATAAATACAGATGGACAAAGTGTTTAGTGCCCTGAGTGTGGATAACAGAGGTTCTCCTTTTCCTCCCATTTCCTCTTCAAGTCAAGCAAGGCTGTGGCAGCTTGTCTTTCTAAGAGAGCTCATGATGGACGCACTTACTCCTGATGCTCCTCTGTACTCCGAGAGGAGGGTGAGTCTTCTTTTCTCCTGGAGGCCTCCTGCCCCTGTGCATTCTCAGGATTCCAGAGCAAAGGTGGCCTCTGATAGGCAAAAAGGAACTCCTGAATTTGTTACTAAATGACTTTCACTCTTCTCTATTTTGTTCCCTATTTGACTTGCTTCTCTTTCTCTATCTGAAGTTATTTTAGGTTAGTTTTTTTTTTCTTTTCAATCCACAATTTTGCCTGCCAACTTGGATTTAATCTTGAGAATCCCTCCTCTCCTTTACCCCCTCTAACATGTATAATTGACACAGAGCGGTGCTGGGTGTAAAGGGCTGCTCAAAGACTGGATCATGAGTAAGCCCTGGTGGTCTCAAATTCGTACTATATAAGTCCCAGAACAAATAATTCACTCTTTTTGTGCTCCAATGCATGATCTTCCATATGGGAATAATGCTCATTCTTACCTCCTAGGCTCTTCAGATAATTAAAACAGACAATACCTAATAAACTCTCCATCAGCTGCTCTTATTCTCCTAGATTAGACCTAGTCCTCATTCTCCAGTTGAAATCTGCATGAATATCTCTCTTTATACTCCAAGCCCTATATATCTCCTATTTCTCCTCATGGACTCCTCACATACAAATGTTTGCATCAACAAAGAAATGAACCAAAGACTTTCTGAAGGAGAGAATTAAATAGGTTTACATTGTGTATACTCAGCAGAACACTTAGTAGTCTCCCATACATATTCCCACACTTCAATTACCTGCTTCAGTGGCACTCAGACTTCACCCTCACTTAGTCTTTCCTCTGCTCCATTGCTGAGCAATTCAGCTCAGACCCACACCCTGCCCAAACATTGTGTACAAAAATGCTTCTAGGTGTTCAGTAAAGCCACATTGAGTCCTCATTTCAAAGGCACATCAGTGGTCAATTTCAGGTTTGGGGCACACATCAATAATTCTTTTTAACACAGATAGAACTGTCCACAAATAGAATTCTGATGAATGAAATTTTCTATATCTAATTAAATATGTGTGTTCTAATAACTTACATTGTGCTTTCATTTTTATTTTCCATTTCACCCAAATCTACCATTACCATTAGGCTTCTCATGCATGCATTCATTCATTGAATGAATATTTATGAAGAGCATAGTGTGCTGCTCAGGGAAATAGGCACTAGGACTATAAAAAGTAAAATGTGGTACTGTCTGCAATGACTGACACACTGAGTTATTTCTCACCCACCAGGCCCAGCCATTTTCACACTTATCATAGCGAAGGTCACATTTTCCTCTGATTCATAATGCATGGTCTTCTTTCCTGTCCATAGATGATCAGTCCTAGTCATGAGGGTGTCACAACCACCTCTTTGCATATCTGAATTCCTCCACCTGAGAGAAAATGTCAGGCCCAGGATAGAGTAATTATCGGGTCCACAGCCCTGGCCACTTGAGTGGGAGTGTTTTGATCCTAATGTTATTCCCACATCAGTACAGAACTTGTGTGGCAGTAGAGAGAAGTCAGGCTTCAGAGTCAACAAGAACTGTATTTCGAACTGGATTTGAGGACCCCCACCTTTTGATAGGTGACTTACTCTCTGCAAGTCTCTGATCTCTCCTCTTTAAATAAGGAAGTAAATCCCACATGGCAGGGTGGTGGGGAGAATCAGAGATCATACAGCTGATGATCACATCTGGTTTCTGTTTCCAGGGTCACCAAACTAGGGTTTCTGAGCATGGATCCAACCATCCCAGCCTTGGACACAAAACTGACACCAATCAACCGAACTGAGGCGACTCCTTGCTACAAGCAGACCTTGAGCTTCATGGGGCTGACGTGCATCATTTCCCTTGTCGGACTGACAGGAAACGCGGTTGTGCTCTGGCTCCTGGGCTTCCGCATGCACAAGAACGCCTTCTCCATCTACATCCTCAACCTGTCCATGGCCGACTTCCTCTTCCTCAGTGGCCGCTTTATATATTCCCTGTTAAGCTTCATCAGTGTGCCCCAAACCATCTCTAAAATCCTCTATCCTGTGACGATGTTTTCCTACTTTGCAGGCCTGAGCTTTCTGAGCGCCATGAGCACTGAGCGCTGCCTGTCCGTTCTGTGGCCCATGTGGTACCGCTGCCGCCGCCCCACACACCTGTCAGTGGTCCTGTGTGTCCTGCTCTGGGTCCTGTCCCTGCTGCGGAGCATCCTGGAGTGGATATTCTGTGGCTTCCTGTTTAGTGGTGCGGATCCTGTTTGGTGTCAAACATCGGATTTCATCACAGTCGCATGGCTGATTTTTTTATGTGTGGTTCTCTGTGTGTCCAGCCTGGTCCTAGTGATCAGGATTCTCTGTGGATCCCGGAAGATGCCGCTGACCAGGCTGTACGTGACCATCCTGCTCACAGTGCTGGTCTTCCTCCTCTGCGGCCTGCCCTTCGGCGTTCAGTTTTTCCTATTTTTATGGATCCACGTGGATCGGAAAGTCTTATATTGTCATGTTCATCTAGTTTCTATGTTCCTGGCCGCTCTTAACAGCAGTGCCAACCCCATCATTTACTTCTTCGTGGGCTCCTTTAGGCAGCGTCAAAATAGGCAGAACCTGAGGCTGATTCTCCAGAGGGCTCTGCAGGACACGCCTGAGGTGGATGAAGGTGGAGGGCGGCTGCCTGAGGAAACCCTGGAGCTGTCGGGAAGCAGATCGGAGCAGTGAGGAAGAGCCTCTGCCCTGTCAGTCAGACGGGACTTTGAGACCAACACTGCCCTGCCACCCTGACAGTTATATGCATTTTTCTTAGCCTTCTGCCTCAGAAATGTCTCAGTGGTTCCTCACAGTCTTCGAATAGATGTTTATCTAACCTGACAGTTTCAGCTTTCACCCATGGAAAGCATTAGTCTGACAGTACAATGTTTAGATTCTCCTTGATACTACCAACATATTTTCCCTGTTATCTTACACTGAGTCTTTCCTTCTGAACACTTTTTCTGCACTTTTCATTGTAATAAAAGGAGTCCCTTTCCAAAACCCTAAAACACTCTTTATGCTTGTTTCCTACCTGATTGTATCAAAAAGGAAGATTCCTTCTTAATCTCTCAGACTGTGTTCCCCTGAAAACCATGTTCCCTTCTATGACTGGAGGCATTACTGCAGTTGAAAGCTTGATTCTGAATAAGTGAGTTCTGCTATGCTACATTCCATTGAATTCTTAGATACAGAGCAAAATAATGTCCTTAGAGATATTCTCTCTTCATAAAAACACTCTCACCAATTGGTTTTACGAAAAGTCCTCTCCTGTCATTTGTCCACAGCATGGTGACACGTTGGCCTTGGTTTCTAGTAAACACAACCATGGCCACTTCCCCCTGAGAACTGGTAAGTGCTTATTTAGCTCTTCCTGGACTAATGGACCAGTGAGGAGCCCATAAAAATGCCCCAGCTCCATTTTGGCCATTGGAAACCTCAACATTGGTTTCAAAGTGGAAATTGTCTTGAAAACCATTTATTATTTGCTTACAGACTCTTTCAGTTGTAGAAGAATTCTTCATACTTCCAGGTTTTGTACAAATTGTTCTGGCCGTAACTTTCAGTTAGTTAACATGAGCGGCAAGACTGATAACATCTGACCTTTCCATGCTAATGTCAATTGTGGTATCTTGATAATAACTTACAGTTACAGAATTCTGATACATGCTTGACATAGATGAACCTGGAAACATTGTGCTAAGGAAAATAAGCCAGATACCAAAGAACAATATTGTAAGTTCAAATTCTACCAGGTATCCAAACTAGGAAATTCGTGAACCCAGAAATTAAATTAGGAGGATCCTGGTGCTGGATGACGGAGAGAATATGTAGCCATTATTAAATGAACACAGGATTTCTGTGTGGAATAATGAAAAGTTCTTAAAAGGGACAGTGGTAACAGTTACAACTTATTGTGAATATACTTACTGACACTGATTGTACACTTAAAATGGTTAAAGTTATAAAATGTATGTTATGTAAATTTTACCACAATTAAAAACAATTATAGAAATGGGATCAGTACAAAATTCAGGACTGTTCTCCACCGGTGGTTATCCCTTCCACAGATAAGCAGACAGAAGAGATTATCAAGAGAAAATGTGACATCACAGCAATTAACCCTCACTGAGGGGAGCTGACAAGTGCAATTTGAGTATGCAGGAGACTGTAAAAAGTAGCTAGGAAAGCAATAAAGAGGTATATAGTTTTCAATTGGTCCAACAAAATTTATTGGTGGATCTTATCACACTGTTCACAATGTTGAATTCAGGTCCCCTGAGTCCAGATCCATTGCTCTTCCAGGCCCAGCACTATGCTGATGCTGAATCCTTTCTGTCCACCCTCAATTTCCAAATGCTGTAGTAGGACATGACTGTAGGCAAGGGTTTTCTACAGGTCGGAGGAAGCAGGAAGCCAGTGTTTGCAGCCAATGCTCCATGCCAAGAGCTTTGATTTTATGTCTTTAGTTCAGACCGAGGGTTATTGGGAGAGTCCAATCAGGGAGTCTGTGATATCAATTGTACAGTGTTGGCTAAAGATGTTGTCTATCATGAGGAATTCTGTAGAGAATTTTCACCTGGAAATTGAATCAAACAGTGTTCGTCCTCACCTGGGAAACTGCTTATCTTGCTGTCAGTGACATTTCTTTTCTTTTGACGGAAGAAAACTTCACCTTCGGGAAGGCTTAAATTTTATCACTGAAGCCTATTCTGAAGTCACCTGACCTCACACATTGCTCTACTACAGCACTTATAACAGTGTATTGAATTATTTGTCCTCATCTCTTTCTCTTCTACTGCACCCTCAGTTCTTTAAGAGCAGAGAGCATGTCTTTGAATTTCTAGTGCAACAGATTAGGTGTGGAATTTAGAAGATGCTTGGTAAATATTTTTCTCAAGCAGCTCCCACCTGAAAATCACAGGGTTGTCCAGCATCTTGCAGAGGCTGGCTCAGTCACCAAGTCTCACTGGAACTCCTATAGGCACCTTCCACTTAACAGAGTGTCCTCTGCAGTTGGTCGTTCTGAGAACAGCTGTTCCCTTTCGTTGAAGGTCTGCTCACTGCCTCTGGGAAGAAGAATGGAGGGGATGTGGGAGTCTGCTCATGAGCTGCCTTCTTTCTAAAGTCAATGATATCATTCCCTCTCAGGTACATATCAAGGAAGAGCATGCAGGACATCCAGGAGTGTTCTCCAGAAAGTAAGAAATGATATGAAAATCTCTCATGGCACCTTTTGGGAGCTGCCATTCATGACTATATTTTAGGCATGAATTCAACAAACATTGAATCGTAATTCATCAGGCACTGTGCTAATTCTACATGAAAGCAAACACCTTTCAAATAAGCCTCTCACTCATACATTCTATGTCTATAACCAATCCTTTCACCTTCATGAAGAAAATGCATTGATTGATTCCGAGCAAATGCTGAGTCTTCAGGGCAATTCACTGATGCTCTAGTACACCTGGGCTCAAGGACACTGAGTCATCAGCTTCACAAGAATCCGTTGGATCTGTTTCTTGTCCTGCTTTTGCCGATTAGGTTTGTCAATATAATTTCCTAATTTATCAAAATACAGCACAAGTTAATGAAACAAGAGTATGAAAGAAGAATTGTGGTTTCCATAAAACTAATGTGAATGCTTAAATGGACAATAAAAGCAGGTTCCAAAATTATTGTTTAGTAGCTGTGAGTCTTCCAACTCTATAAGATTAAACAAAAATGAAAAATATTGAACAACATTTTTAGACAGAATGCTATGCATCTGATGCTAAAGTCTACACTTAAACTAATCCAAACTGCAAATCACAGAGAATGATTGATAGATATGCTTTCAGCAAGACAGAGTAGAATTCTATTTGCTGAAACCTACACAAAGGAATGTTCTTTAGTCTATTTCTATTATACTGAACAAATTATAGGTAAAAATGAAATATTCATGTTACAAATGTATCATTTTTTATAAATACTGATTAACAGACATTTCTAAGTAACCTATCCACTTCTATTCCTGAATATATTATGATTGGGCTTTTCATAGCAATATCTCCCACTTATTCTACTATTTATTGTTTAAATACATACTGAGCATCTTCTACTCTCTGGCTTGCATGCCAGATGCTTGGGAGTCAAAGTAAACACACCCACATTCATAGAGCACACAACATGTGAAGGAAGGACACTAGTGCAGGAAAGACAGCCTCCCAATGTGACACATGCTATCCAAGCATTGTATTTGTGGCTCAAGGGTTCTCACAGGAGAGGATATCTAAAAATTCCAACCTATCTTGCTGCCATCCTGAAGATGAGTGTCACACCCAAGCACCCAGCTGAAGCAGGACAACATGATTTTAATAAATTAGAGAATATTCACCAGGTGGCTGCCCATGCAAGACAACAATCTCCGCAACAGTTTTGTAATTAATGACATCACAGAATGAATAGGCTGAATCTTACAACAGCCCTCAGTCAATAGTCCAACATCACACCAACGTACAATTCCTGAAAAGATTTTCAAGAGACCCTGCAGTTGCTTAGGCCACAGGCATTGCAGAACTACCTACTACCATTACCCTGTGTTCCAGCAGAAGAAGCCCTTGCCTCCAGGCAAACCCAATTCAGCATCTGGAAATCCCGGGATAGGTAGGGAAGCAGGATGCACAAGTGCTAGAATGGGAAGAACACTCACCTGATTTCAGGGATTTGGGATTCTCAAGCTGACTGCATGGCCAACATGGGTCACATGCTCATTCCAGGCAAGCCAAGCAGATAGTGAGGTTATGGGATTGCCCTAGTCTGAAACTGTGCCATTTGTGCATTTGTGTTCAGGTATCTCTTTTAAGAACATGTGGGTAAAGTGTGACTTTACCATAACCACAGACTGAAGATAACTAGTGTTGTGATCCAGACCACCTGAGCAATTTACCTCTCTACACAGTGACTATAATCACAGTAAGCGTGTGTTCTTCTCACCTATGCGGCAGTGACCTAGAATCCAAAGAGACTGCTCTGATGCCTGTTCTGTATGATGGTGTGGAATCAGTTGGGCACCATTATTGTCAATGTACTAATGCTCACTATGGATATAGATGACATTTGTTTGCTCTTATCTAGCTGTGACAGCAGAGTATGGAAAAAGAAATCTCAATACTCATGCCCATCATATTGGTCCAATTGTTCTGAAACCTTGCAGGATGCAAACACAAGGAAGGAGAGCAGAGACAGAGCAGATTTTATTCCTAAGTGTGTATGTAGAAGTGAGCAGATCATGGAAGGCTTCGTGTAATAGGTAGAATTTTAACTGATGACTACAATTGACCCAGCACTCTTATTATAATTATACCCTAGTAAATTTTGCCAGTCACCTAAATTTTTGTACTGGGCAAGGAGAGGTAAATAGAATCTGGACAGATGGAAATGGGACAAGAGATAATTTACAGTGACACTGTTAATAAAAGCATAGAGTTTTTTGGGGAATGGTGAATAATTCATACATGAGTTTTATTCCTCGTGTCACCCCGTGTATTTGGTCATGGTGGCAAGATCCCTCTTAAATAGAATCACAAGACTGGAGTGCTCTGAATAATGAGCATTAACTTTTGTGGCCTTGAAGTGATAGGGGTTGGTGTTAGTTTTATGATATTCATAGGGGTGAGCTCTATAATAATGTAAAGTCCAGAGAGGGCCAG